TATCGTGTTAACTTTGTTAACCGATTTTGACCGTTAATTTGAATAATAAACGGTTGTGATTTAATGATATTTAAAAATTAATTATCAAATTAATACTTTTAATTAACATGTGTGAACAAAATATCAAAGAGTATTTAGGTAAATAATAATTTATATTTGATACACGAGTTGTCAGAATATGAACAACTTGAGTATATCCTCAAACCACATCAAACAAAAAAAGATTAGACATATAAACAACATGTGAACCGTATGAACATCTTTTGTATATTCAGAAGTCAACTTTGTTGTATGTACATGAACACCTATGAACCAAGGCATCTAGGGCTGTGGGTTTTCATATGTGCTCACATGTCTTCACATGTTCTGTGTGTGTGTGTGTGTGTGTATTTGTATTCATATGAACATCTAGTGACTTGAATATACATGAACACTTATGAATCACGACATCTAAGGTTGTGTGATTTTTGATGTGTTCATATGTTAAATTTGAGAACTGTCGATTAAAACGAATGCAATATCATATTAATCCATTACCAATACAAACACTTTGATCATTGTCTTCACTTCCGGAACTCGAAGTCCGATTGTCATCGTAAACCATTTTAACTTTCTCATTCTCATTGTTGTCGATCTGTTTTCCAATGGGTTTATCCATATTAGCTTGGACGATATCGAAAACTTTACTATCGAGAATTCTTTAACAATCATAAATTCAATAACATCATAGATAGATAAATCAAATTTAAAAAACAATCACAAATTGAAAAACAAGATCAATATTAAATCATCATCAATTATGRGATTTTTAGATTTTGTAACTCCCAATTAATGATATGGGAGTTACACAAAATGATAAAATTACTTAATTACCCTTGTCATTAACATATGAGATGTATGTGAACCTAAAGAAAATATGGATTTTCATTGGTTGAACTTGGTTAACAAAGTTAACACAATAATCTTGGTTAACATTTGAACCAAGCTCTATATATATGTGTGTGTGTGTGTGTTTATATTATTTATTTCAACTAAAGGGTAATTCGTAATTTCATATTTCCTAACTAAGTTTATAATCTAAAATTGTTATATTTATGTTATATGTAATATTTTGGATGTCAAGTCAAATTTACTCAATAAGTTTTGTATATTACTCAATATGGTTTTATATTACTCAATATCTTTTGGTACATGTGACTTAAGTTTTTTTGGATTAAATTGAATTTTTTTTTTGGTTTTAGGTTATTATTTCTTATATTGTGTTGTGGTTTTTTTGTATTAAATTAAATTCATTTTGGTTTTAGGTTTATTGAAAATGTTTGAGATTTAAACATGTATGGTCTCTCACAAATTTAATTTAAAATAACTTACATAAACGGAAAAAAGAATCACCATTTCCCCGTTGGAGATGGGGATGGGGAAATGATTATATTCCCCGGCGGGGATGGGTATGGGGACGAAGAGAGTGAGTAAGTGATCAGGGACGAGGACGAGAATTGAGGTCCCCGCCCCATTTCCATGCCTAAAAGTCACACATATTTGTGTAATTAAAACTTCAACACCAATAACATTTAAATATGGGTTTAACCCCGCAGCACAAAGAAAAACAAATAGGATACTCATAAAATATTTTTACAATTTTTTTTCATTGAAGACATCAACCTTCCCCAATCGTGATGGTCTTCATATTGGACAATCTTACTTGCCAAAATATATAATTGGTTTAAACCTAAAAGGCTTGTTGGATAATAAATACCGGATAAAAGTGTTGTTGCATTTTTAAAATCGCCTAAAATATCGTATAATCTTTCAATCACGGCTCAATCAAGATCTGCAATAGAACTTTGTGAGTAATGGTGTCTATAAAATGATTTTTTTTTTGTTTTATCAAAATTTCAATCATAAAATAAGTCGAGTTCCAACGAACGTGCATATCGAACCTCGGTCCCAAAGCTTTGAAACCAACGTCCTCACAATACTTTCTATATTCCGCATTCATTTCTTACCCTTTGTGAAAATTCGCCGCAACATAAGTCTAAACTTATCTATTACGGATTTACAAGTATTTAAATCGTCTTAAACGGTTAAATTTATTATGTATGCAAAACAACGTGTATGAAATAATTTACCGACGAAAATAGGTGTCAAATGACACTTTAATTTTTCCACACATAGATTGTTATTATTAACGTTATCAAATGAAATGCTAATTATTTTAACAGTTAAATTATAAAATGCAAGACATTTTTTAATAATTGAAAATTGATGGCACCCGAATGTAGCGTACCAAATGGTTCAAACGCGATTATGCGTTTGAATAAATGTCATGATCATGGCTCAACCCAATGTGCCTTTATGCATATATATGAAACCGGCAATCCGTATGGTGCACTCCATACATCACACTTTAACGAAATATTGTTAGACAAAACATAAAAGATTTGTTGAATTTCAGCTCAACATATTTTCCACATTTTAATTGCATCACGTCTAAGGGTTTGACGACTTACAGGCTTGTATCATGGTTGTAGTGTTTTTTGGATCAACTTTGTAACGTGAGGGTTGTCGAAATGTCTGAAAAACAACCCGACTTGAATGACACATTGTGTTGTCATTTGTCGGTTCAACTCGACATCATACGACCATATTTGACCTTGAGTGTCAAGTATCGGTTGGCTTGAATCACCCCCTAACCTCAACCCCGAACATGTTTTTTCAGTGTCTCCTTAAGGTAGAATTTTCTTCCGCCGTAAGGAGAGCTTGACACATTTTGCATTGTGCCTTTCTTTTCTCGTTCGTGAGGACCACCAAGTTGTAGTGATTCCAAATCTCGGACTTTCGTCCGTGTTTGGCGAGAACTTGGGCAACTTGTTCTTTTGATGCATCATGTTGTTCATCGGCCCTTGTAAGACAAAGAGAGAAAGAAATGTGAATTGTGAAGTGGAAACGAGAAATGGATACGAGTCGAATTCACAAAATATAGCGAGAAACCGAGAATTGTGAACGCTTTTTTGCAAATTGAGAACTTGGTATATAAATCTCTCAACCAAGACACATATTTATAGTGTTTAGAAGCTAAAAAATAGAAAAAAGGTCAAAAACGACTAGTTAACGGCTACTTTAAAAAAAACGGCTATATGTTTTAGTAAATCGGGTTGGGCCAGTCCCATAACCGGTCCCGGTCCCGGTCCCGCGAAACAGCCCAAATGCATAACCGAATGTAACCGTCGGTCCTATAACCGGTCCTCCGGCGGTCCCGAGCCGGGCCGGTTTGGCCATCACTAGGTGTAAGTATTTTCTACTTGAACTCAAACCAATCTCAAGCTCGGACCAAAACTAGAATTAAGCTCGAACTCAGCTCACACATTGAAATTTTAGGGTGCTCTCTTTTAAGATATACGACCAACTTAAACTCCATAAAAAACTTAAAGGATGCACCTCAAATTTTATTAAGTTAGAGACTCGTTTCACCTCTTCTCTCATTATAACACCTCTTCACTCTTCCCTCACTACCTTTCTTCAGTCGTGTGACAATTTCGTCAACACTTTATAATTTTTTTGTTTTTTTTTAATTATGATTTTAATGTAGAAAATAATTGATAAAATTTTATAGTTAAGAATCTACAAATTTGTTCAAATATCTAAAAATATACGACATTTTTCTTTTTATTGGTAAGTTTGTTAATGAACTTTTTACATTATATTTTAAAAATTATATCATAAAACTAATCATATATTAAAAATATAAGTATCTCATGAACTTTTCGAGTTGTGTAGCTCGACTGTTAAGCTAGAGTTCGAACTTGATCTCGAGTTGTCTAACATTGTGTGAAAGCATGTGAAGGCAACCCCCGCCTTCTCGAAAACTGATGATGATACATATTTAAGTCCCGTTTATCTTTACCACCTTCACAAAATATAACATAAAAAAAAACTTGTGTTGGGTGGTCCTACAAGCTATAATAAAAAAGGTCTCTAAAACTACAACTGATTTTGTTTTATGCTTTTTTAAAATCCATTGTTGCAAAGCAAGTAGAGAAAATCCATCGTCTTTGGTATGAAAACTAGAACCGAGTAAGTTGTAGGTCCAAATTGGCCATCGACCACTTTATCCAAATCCTTTTGGAGTTCCCCACTCTACCTCTGGTTATTTAAGAGAATAACCTTTCAGCATTTTTCTTAAATGCATATCTTCTGAAGACGTCTCATGTTTCTACTTAACAAAAGAATGTTTATTCCCAACACAAGAGTACCTCAAAATATGAAGAAAGTGAATAAACAAGCATCAATTTCCATACCAGGTGCAGAAAATAGAGAACCAACCTAGAAAACAAGACAGGAAAAACTTGTTCCAATATCCAACAACATTGCTTCTAATCAGCAAAAGGATATCATGTCCAATAACAACATATATTTATTGGGGAAGAAATTGACACCCAAAAAGAAGACATGATGCAGCTGCTTTCAAAAGTAGTTGCTTTTGTAGAAATTTTTTAGAAAGTTGGACAGTTCCTCATCCTTTGTGGCCACATCTTGAACAAGTCCCTGATTGCCCACCACATACTGTCCAATGATATGATGTCGTTGCTTCGCATGCTCCGTTATGTTGCTCAACTCTTCCATTCCCTTGAACAGCAGCATATCAATCACCTGCAACAATTATCCACAACTTCTTTAACTTCATTCTTAACTACAAAACTAACAGTTGATGTCATTATTTCAAGATTCCTTTGAGCAATCGGTTTCCTATATGATCTCTTTTCAGATGCAAGAAACTATTAGCTACATGGATTTTTCATAAAGCCTTGATGAATCAAGTTGGCATTTTAGCGATCAAGAAGATGAATTTTTAGGACAAGCTACCTCCATCTCAAATTGTTTTTGAACTTCAAGATTGATAAGATTTTATTTTGTACAGAAAAGTAATATTAAAAATCCAATACTGGGACCTTCTTAGGACAGAAGGAATAATGTAGTTATCTCCCATGAATGTGATACGATAGTCTAGTCAACCCAAAACAAAATGAAGAGGTCATGCGTAGCAACCAATACGATGAACAAGCATTCCAACCCAACACAAAATTTTGATCAGAGTTTGAACAAACAAATTACAACTTACCTTTGTGTAGCATATAAGCAATTTCTAGAAAACAAATAATCGAAATATGGTCTCTGCAACAACTTGTTTGGTAAGAGATATGTTTGCAAGAATTGTTGAAAGAATATGTATCCAAAACAAATCAATTAGAATGTTATTCATACTACTTCACTTTAAAATCCCATCTTCCCTTGTTGACATAGAGAATTCATAAAATTAATCGTTCCCTTAAGCTTTCTAAAACTGAAGATCATTTCATGTTACCATAACTAATGTTAAATCCCAGTTGCTAAAAGGACTGCCTCACTATGTCAAAAGGTATTTGATATCCACTAGTTCACATAACAATTTCACCACCCTATGTCAAATCCCATAAAATGAAGAGAGCATGGATGCTCATCTTATATCTGTTCCAACTAAAAAAATAGTAAAGTGGCATTCTTGCCCTCAAGAGTCACTTATTTGGCACATGCATTCAAGTGGTTATAGTTTATTCAACTATAACAAGAACTTAGATAAGGACCACATAACAATTATAACAACAAATGGTTACAGGATAAAATCTTTATAGGACATACACACAGTCTAACGGAATCGCCATGAAGAGCCTCTACGCATTTGACAAAATATGTACAGCTTTCAATAGTCTTAAGAAACAAATAAACAACTTAATGCATATTGTTAAAAGAGTTTGCCCAACATACAACATAGCATAACTCATCAAGCTCAAACTTTCAATTGGCAACTTTTGGATGAGTAGCTCCTCCATTCCAACACAAGATGCACAAATTGAATTCTTAGTTTAGACCTAGAACATTGCACATACATGATACAACATTGATATAGGTACACACATATAACCCAAACAATAATTGCAGATATTGTCGGAATTCCAGTGTAATTGTCATATTTTTCCCCATACAGTTTCAAATTCATTTCAGTTCCAAAGTTGAAAATGGAACATTTGACCTCAATATCAAAATTTTATCACTGTTTTAGAAGGAAGTACGCGTTGAAGAAATAGTGGCCTTCAATGGGAGAGACGTAATTCTAAATCCTCCAAAATCCTTAAACCATAAAGAACCATTCTACAATTTCAATCAATACCCAGTATACAGATAGCTAGACGCACAAATTTAACAAGTCTTTTACCTAGATTGGAAAATAGAAAACTGGGTATGAGATACCTTAGGGTTAGTGATATGAGCGTTCTTGCGGATTTCGGAAGCGATGGTGGAGCGAAGCTGAGAAGGGTTAACAACATCGTATAGATTATATATATCCATGATCGCAGGAATGGATCTGCAGGCTGTACGGAAGAAATCAAAGGTCCGATGCCTAGCTTCTGCCAAAGTGGCTGAGTTCGGAGGTACCTTAACCCTCATCGCAAACGCCATTTTCTTTCTTTTTCGCCACTCGAACGAGAGAAAGGAGAAAACAAGGAGGAAGGAGGAAGGAGGCGGATCAAATATTGGGTTGGCCTGGCTGATCTCCTTCCATCGATCTTTTCTTTTGTTTGCAATATTTATGTATACAACCCTTATAAATTCATTGTTCTCACAATGTTACCCTATGTGCCAAAGATGGACAAAATCCGGTTATCTATGCTACCTTATAAATTAGATTAAAAAAAGTCTTAAAAACAACATCTAATGCATTTGATACTACTTTTTAATACACTAAGTCTTAAACTCTTAATTACAACTTTATAAGCTTCACGTACAACTCTATTAAAGCATAAGTCTTTCACATCCCCATTGCATTGATAACATCGCTCCACCCTCATCATTGCCTTTCCAGCCTTCTCCTAGCTCTCCAACCTTCTCCGACGATTCACACTCTCGAGACGACGATTCAGGCCCCAAGACGCTGATTCAGGCCCGCCAAGACGACGATTCATAACCCTAGAGTTTATAAACGATCACTCCTCTCGAAAATTCACACTCATGGTTTTACAATAGCTCCTCTTGCTCCTCTCGAAAATTCACACTAATGGTTTTACAGTAGCTCCTCTTGCTCCTCTCGCTACACTTCCTCCTCCAGAAGATGATTTGTTTAGGTGGATTCAGGCCCCTGATTAGTACGTGTGGTTTCTTTGTTTTTTATTTATTTATTAGAATGTGTTTCTACTCCAGAAGGTCTCCTTTTTGCAATTTTTGATATATTTCTTGGTGTTTTATTGCCTATTAGTTTTCTCCTTACTTTTAGTTTCATTCCCTTACTGGTACATTTGGTTTCTGTGTTTTATTCTAAGTATTAGCTGCTCTCGATTCATTCCTCCAATTTCATACCTTCTCAATTCATGTACAATGTTTTGTGGTTTCATGTTGATGAGAGCTGATGCATAAACCTTTCCACACGCTCGGTTTGACATCCTACCTTCACACGCTCAATTGCAGGTTTCCAAGACAATGATTGAGGCCTCCAAGACGACAATTAAGGCCTCCAACATGCTTGATTGCAAGGTTTTAGTTCTGGCTCCTCTAGATTCATACCTCCAATTTCATACTCTCTCGATTCATGTACAACGTTTTGTGGTTTTATTTTTATGAGAGCTGATTTAGGGTTTGATTTCCTTTTATTTGGTTTCCTTTTGATGATTTCTCACGGGGTCTTGATCGATTTTCTTTTGTACTTTCATGTTTATCGATTTCTCACAGGTTCTTGATCGATTCTCTTTTCTTTTCATTTTCCTTTAAGATCTGCACTACTTCAGAGTTTCCAACTTCATTTCAAACTGAGATGCAATTTTTATAAGCACCAATTTTGATCGATTTCTCAAGGAGTTAGTGAATTTTTGCCTCACCAGACAAATGGTTGAGTTTCTAATGAATTTGAGTTTTAGTTTTTGTGCTTTTTTCCATCTTGTGTTATAGTTTTCTATGTTTATTGCCTTTTAACTGATGCTGTTAATCCAGCTAGCAGATATTGTAAATTTCATGGTAAAGCTACGATAAATTTCCTTTGAGGCTCTGTAAAGCATGTACAGACAATGTGTCAGATCTTAGTTCTAGGCTCCACTTGGGAAAGTGTTGAGAATCCACCTTCAAACTCTTTGAAAGACAGGAAAAGTGCTCCCCGAGTCATTTATACGAGTTTTCGGTAGAAGGTAAGTTTTGATGCCATCAGATCTATATTGCGACTGAAGTTTCGATTTTTTTATGTGTGAGATAATCAATGACCTTAGACGCCTGAGATTTCCAACTTTGTGCAGTACCAAACTTGTTGCTTTAACTGGAGCTTTAATAAGCACAAAGTGTGGAATTTCTAATTACGAAAGGTACTCTCAATCTGTATATACAACATCTTGAATCAACAAAAATATATCCATTGAAAACTCGTATTACAAAATAAGCTCAAGATGTATACAATATTTGTCATGTGATAATTAGAAGTTGAAGATTTAGGGGATTTCTGTAAAAATTGTAATAGGGGAACAAGGGTTCTTGGTAAATATGGGATCAGTGGCAGAAAATCATCAAAATCACCCTGATCTTGTTTCTTTATCTGCACTAATGAGTAGAGAATTGAGAAGTGAAAAGATGGAAATCAAGTGTTAGATATGGGTCTGCAGCTCAATCCAAAAAAGATGAAGATTATTTCATGATGAAGATTATGGGAATCTGTTGGGTTCAGAGCTATACTTTGATTGTTGTATTCAAGCTTGTTTCTCCTAAGTTTTGTATTAGTGTAGCTTTAATGCTTTCTAGTATAAATATGATAATTAGCCTTGTAATTAGTGTTGAGCTTATCATTGGTGTAATCATTACAAGATTTGAATACAAAGTATTTGGGTTAAAATTATCTCTTTAGATTGTTCATATTGTTCTTCAAGATTATCTGATTTAGTGATTGATTGGGAATTACAATGGTATCAGAGCTTGTTGCAACAATTTGATTGAAGAATATCCACTTTTTCGAGAATTTTTCACACAAAATTCTGAATTTTAGCACTGTTCATACTGTTCATCACTACTGTTCATCGAGTTCTTGAGAATATCAGACAAAACATCCATTTTTCTACCCTAATCTCATTAAATTTTGTGTTTTAGGTGTTAAAATTTGGATTACTATGTTTGCATTGATGATTTGAACAATTGATATTCACAAAATTTTGTGATTTGATCAATTTTTGAAGAATTTTTGAAGGATTTGTGTTAAACTGAAAACTTTCTGTTCATACAAAAATTCATATTTTTTCGAGTTTTTGATCTGTTTTGATTGAAAATTTGTTAAAATTTGTGTTTGTGCTTGAAGATAAATCGGATGGTATAGTGATCGTATTTGTTTGAATTTGCATAGTACTTAGTACGATTTGTTATCTGTGATTGACTAAGTGAATTTGTGCGATTTATGCTTAATCCGTTTAGAACTCTGTGCGATTTAGTCATTATCCGAGTGAGCCTTTGTTCGTATTAGACATAAATCGACTACTTCATTATTCAATTTAGTTTTAGAATTTGATTATGTTTGTTAAACGATTTAATCATTGATCGAATTGTGACTTTGACTTTTATTGTTGATCGGATTAAAGTTTGACTTTCTTTTTGACCAAATTTAAATTGATCGGACTTGTTTGTTGACTTTTGTTGACTTCGTGTGGTTGATCGTATTTGGATATTGTTTGAATTTTGTGAAGTGTCAAGTGTCCGGATATCAAATCCGGATAGACTTGTTCGTATCACTTAGTGTATGACAATCTTAGTTGTCCGGACTCCCGATCCGGATAAACTTGTCCGGTTTTCCAATCCGGATAAGGCTAAGTGTGTGGATTTTTTGCTAAGTGTTGTATGTTCAAGAATTTTGTGTGTAATTTTTGAGATATTATTGGATTTTAATTCTTCAAATCAAATTTTGAACTGCAGAGATCCTATATCATTTTAAATAAGATAAAATGAGCTCAAGAGAAGCAATGACAATTGGCACTGATACCAAGCCACCTGTCCTCTTTAGAGGAGATTACAATCAACGGAGGGACATATTTCTGAACTTCATTGAAAGACAAAAAAGGGACAAACAGGACAAACATTATGTTGGAGACTTAATCATGGAATCTTTATTGAAAGGGCCGACTGTTTTCTTTAGAGCAATTCCTCCGATTGCAGAACTGAACAAACCAACTGAAATAGTCATTAAAGAAAAATCAAGATACACTGCTAAAGAGAGAGAGAGCACATGCTGATGTATTATGTAAATCTTATATGATGCAAGCACTTACTAAGGACATTTATACAAGCATTGACAGCTATAAAGCTTCTGGACACAACATGTGGATGCAAATAGAAAAGATGATGATGGGTTCTAAAGTGGGAACTCAATTGAAGATCACAAATTGCATAACTGCGTATGAGGAATTCAAGGCTAGAGAAAGAGAGAGCCTTGATGATGTGTATGATCGTCTAATCAAACTTTTGAATGAACTCACAAAGAATGAAATTACAAAGTCTAAAATTGAAATTAATGTCAAGTTTGTTAGGACCTGTAAACTCAGTTTTGATATCAATCAAATACTCTGGATGATCTTTAAGACAATCAAAGTGCAGCGGAAACAATATAAGAACAAACAGAATAAGAATCAAGAACACACAGTATATGAGAATGATGAACACAAGAGAATAGCTTCAAAGGTTTTTCAATGAATTGAAAATAAGACGATTACAATACGGGAAGCACACTGAATTACAAAGGCCTAAGCTGCTATTTATACTAGTTCCTAACGACATTTCTGACATGACCTAGACAAGTGAAATCATCCAAGCCGTCCAAATAAAGTCGATTAAAGACCTAGTCACGTGAGAAGCACGTGCAGCTAACCACCTTTGAAAAAYAGCAGAACAGGATCTTCACAGAAGACGAATCCGCAGACCCTCTGTGAGCTACCTCAGAGGCTCTGCTGTAGAAGACTTGTAGGTTCTTATTGCCAGAGGACCATTTTCCAGAACCTCTGTGAGAGACAACAGAGGTTCTGTCAAACTTGACTTGTACGATCGAACAGCTTCTGTTGTTGGTCCTCTGTTGTCTTATGTGGAAGAAACCCTTCTGTCAACACTTGCAGAAATCTTTTTTATACTTTTACATTAAACAAATATTGGAGCTAACAATCTCCCCCTAAGTATGAAAAAGTAAAAATGGACAAATAAATGCAAGAAATGACTAATTGAAAGAATTACAAGAGGAGATAAAACTCATCCTCAAAAATGAATTACATTAAATTGAAAGAAATACAAAAATGTTGCTCAGGCCTATCTATTACAGAAGATTAGTCCACATCAGAGTCTGGATAGTCGTCTACGGCAAACTGCAGATCTGACTTGATGGTTCTGTAGACCTTGAATATCCATTCCCTGAAGGAGACTTGAACTTTAATCACTTCCAGAATACCAGACACTTCATCCACCCTTACATGCCCTCTTTGTACTTCTGCAGCCACTCTGTTAAACACCCACTCAAGAGTCTCTATCGCATATTTGTTCGCCTCTGTGGGATCAAATAACCTTAGAATGTCATCCTTGTCCAAGAACACAAACCCAAATAT